TATTATTTTATACAAATAATCGGTACAGATACAATTCGTAAGACAGTTGATAATTAATATAATTGAATAAACACATTTTTCCCAGTACCTTCTCGGAATTTGAAACTATTTCTAAAATTAATAAACTTCATTCTCCAAGAGTCATAAGAGTTAAAAATATTAGATTCCAATATAAAATGATATACATTATATGTTCATTTAAAGTAATTTATATATCATTGTACTATAGATAGGTGAAAATTAAATCGATACTATATCAATAAATAAAACACAAAAAAATATTTTACATCTGGACATTATATTTATAGGTATTTTTTTTTAATCTATAATTTGTGTTATCAACTTTTTGTCTAGATATACGATTTTTATTTTTGAGTATAAACATTTTTTTTCAAAAATATAAACTAGTTTTTTGTTTGATATTAAGCTGTGGGACTTTAAAGTGGTATATGTAAAATTTGTTATGGACTAGATTTGTCATAAATGAAAAATTTTAACTATCCCTTCAAATTGTATTTTTAACATACTAAATGTATTTCGTAAAGGAGTTTGTGACTCCTTATCTACCCCGAGGTATGCCTTTAAATATAGCCATCTGTTACGTGAAAAATATTTTAAAAATGTAGATGGTAATCGCAGAAGCGTAAGTCGGGAGACTTAAAGGATCTTAGTCCTCCTCTAAATTTAAAACAAATTATATGTACTTTTATAAAACAAACAAAATTTAGGATGACAGAAGAATTCAACTTAGCACATAATTTTTTTTTCATAAATATATTCCTATGAGTATTAAAAAAAAAAAGGCTAGAAAACGCTAATATATTTAATTACTAGTAGTGACATACAGGGAATTTTTTTGATATCCCGCCATTTTAGTCCGTCACAATAAGAAATTAAGTATTTTAAACGGTTCGATTATTGTTTGTGTTACATAAAAAAAAGTATTATAAAAATAGAAAAAAATGTCGTTGTTGAAATAGCTAAGACATTTTAATTGGCAAATTATATTAACATAGCAATTTACTGTAAACATTTAATTATAACGACATCGAATTAAGTGAAATCGATAATAATTAAAACCTAATAACAAAAAGTCATCGATGTCTTATGTAGTTAGGAAAATTTGTTTTTGTTTGCTAGTTAATTACCATTACAATTGCACAATATTCTTTCGCAATAAATGGAAAACAAAACAATAGTACTGTATTTCTGTTTTAAGCAATTTAATTAAAAAAATAGGGGAAAGTATAAAAAATATTTGTTTAACCACTGAAGTTAATTTTTCTGACTTTTCTGAATTTTACCAATATTCAATCATCAAATAGTTATTTTTCTATTTTGAATTTAGATACCGTATATGACAAATTACAAGATGATGCTCATTAACAAAAAGTTTCATAATCACACGTTGATTTTTAATGTTCTAGGAAATGTCTATCGTTACGCTTAGTGCACTTCCCATGTTTCTGCTATTGTGTTTAGATTTTTTTTTAAACTAGGAAAGTAAGAATTGTTTCTTATATTTTACCGAGGAAACCAAAATTAATCTAGTGTTTCTGATTAATAGCTTTACAATAGTTTAACTACAATTTATATACACTATAAAATGAGTCTTAGATTTAACGATTTAACTAAAATGAATAAAAATAGTAAAATTATTTCAAATAAATTTAATCTTGCAAAAAAAAAATTATATCCAGCCTTTTTTTAATAAATCTTAACAGAGCTACAGTTTACATAAACCTTATTTTATTATATTATTTAAGACTTTGATTGGAAAACAAACAATACTAGAAAACACAAAAGAGCAGTATCATTTAATGAACCCTATCGAGTTTCGCTATTTCTTATTTATATCGTCAAAATGCTCAAGTTTTTTTAAAGTTATAGTTGTAGTAAAAAATCTGTAATACAAATCATAAGATAATAATTTTTCATAAAATCCTTGACCTAGTTGGATGATGTGGCACTGGCACATACGTATATCTAATCAACCGTATCATCTCGCTCTTTCTGAAACTTCATTGACCAGTTTCAGATATCAATTAATTGTGTGTATTAAAAAATTCTCTTGAGTTGCAAAGCGACGACGAGTATATGATACAGAAAAGGAAAGAACGTTGAGATTAATAATTATTAATGAGAAGAAGGAGTGGTCTGTCAGGTAACAGCGACGGCAGATTTTAAGTGTTTGCAAGCAACTTTAAGGCCGGGCAACAGGTTACAAGGTAAATTCCTCTCGTGTTTGACTGCTGATATTATGACCATGTGTAAATTACAATTCATATTTAGAATGGCGATGAAAATAATAATAATATATGAAAATACCCGCAGATGATAACACTGAATCAACGAAATGTAGTATACGAGTAGTAATGATATTAACACGTATGCATTAAAGGCGTTTAAGTCTCCAAAATGCAATGCAGTTTAAAAATCACTGAGTTTAATGGTTTATTAAAGTAAATATTTATAAATTTATTATTAATTTTATATATTTTTACATGATGAATTTGTGTGTGCGTAAATGTGTTTACGTAAAGTTTTAGATAAAACAACACAATGTTAAAAAAAGAAGTTTAGCAATTTAATATTAATAAATAATGCAATATTTTAATATTGAACTTTACAATGGGACGTCCTATTAACAACTGAATTACTTATTAAGAAATGGTATTTAACAATTACAAAATGCAAACAGATTTTTCTATGTTTAATTTTGAAAATAAACTATCAGAAAAATGGAAAGTTTTTTTTGTCCCTCCAAAAAAAAAAACAATGCATTAATTAATATATTGTTGTATATTTTGTGTAAACTTAAATGTATTGGAAAATTTTAATTATTCACAATATCTATAAACACAATTTCAACAAAATTTTTGGAGGTGCTTATTATATCTAATATCAGACTCTCTAAAATGTCTTTTTACATAGTTATTCATGTTGTTTTTCTAAAATTTTGGATGATCTAGTTTTAAAATTAGAGTAGTTAAGCCCCCAACTCGAACCAATATTTTTATTATCAATTAAAGTATGGCCAACCTGTTTGTAGGGGTGTAAGAAGTCATTTTTAAGTATTTCGGGAACGCTGATTCTGAAAATTACATCAGAAATATATTGCCAATCTTGTTTTTGGGATAAAGCGTACTTTTAATTTTAAAAGCTTGCATGCTTTTAAAGTTATCTAGCTTTTGTAATAACTATCCAAAATCGAATCATAGTATATCTAATGAACGATATAAAGAATATATAAATATATGAAAGATATAAAGAATATTATAAAATAATAAAACGACCAATTCTTCAGCCTAATTAAATATTAAATTGTTCTAAGAGTAAAAAAACTATACATTTTTGTCCAAAATTTCACAATATATATGTGAAACTGTGTTTTATTTTATCTCGTTTCTTCTATAAAATTTTGGTACAAATTGATTGAAAATTAAATAAATTAGAATATAAATAATAACACATAAAATAAATTGTTACTATGACTATGAATATTAATTATGTCTAATGACTATATTACATTATTATATGAGTTACAAGAACTTATAAAATGTTTCTGGTATTTTTCCCTGGGATTAGAAGATAAGAATACTTCCACGGTCCCTCTGCCAGTCATAAGAGGCGCCTAATGAGATTGCGTCAGGTCGACAGCCGGCGTAAAATTTTTGTCGAAAAATATGAAGAGTCCTAAACAAGTTTTGGTGAGTAAAAAGTAAAAGAATAAAATGTTTCTGGCTTATAAATAGTGTGTTAAAAATGCTTAATCGTTATAGAATAGAAAACAACCCTTCAACCCTCTACTACATATATATTTACCAAGTTTTATAGCATGAAGTGTAATTGTTCAAAAAAAATTTTCTGACGACTTAGTTCACCACTTCATAATAACCCTCAAATTTTAATCATAGATACTACATTTATTAAATAAAAAGGTTATCAAATAGTTTGGAAGAACTTAAATTTAAACAAAACTTTGGTTTTTCTACTCCACTAGATCAAAAGTTGATATGTAAACATATTCACAAGAGAAAATTCCGTTAAAATTTGCTAAAACTCAATATTATATTAATGCATTGAATTTAATTTATACACATTACATTAAAAGTAGAAATACACTGTTATTATATTTCTAATCTATTGTTATACTTCTACATTACTAAAATATAACGCGCAAAAAATAGTTCACAATTTATAAAAAAAATTTTTCATCTATCTACAAAATCATATTTTTTTTTATAAAATTGCTCTGACCTAAACACGAAAGGGTATAAATACTTTCTACCAATTGGAATTTTATGAGTGAACCAAAACTTTAAGAAATATTTAAAAAAAAAACCCAATAAAATAATTTTTATTTATTAGATTTATGGTAGACAAATAAGTAGGCCAATTTTTTTATACTGCTGAAAATTTTCTATCAGTAATTTGAAATTATAACTTTAAAATATTCTATTCCATTTTATCACAATAAAAATTCAACGGCGTAATTAGGATTTTGTCTAGAGAAAAATTTTAACTTCCCATTAAACATGAAATATAATTTTATTTATCATATAATTACTATTATCTTGTGGAGGAAATAACANATTTTAACTTCCCATTAAACATGAAATATAATTTTATTTATCATATAATTACTATTATCTTGGGGAGGAAATAACACATCAATATCCCCCCCCCAATAGTTACGTTAGTGTAAGAATTATCAATATTTAATAATGTAAAATAAATAATATCAACTAATATAACGGATAAAGCATCTTTTTTGTTAATTTTTTTTATATGACATTTTTACACACAACTTTTTTAAGGTATTAGAATCTAATTATTATTACTCATTTCTTCATAATTTTGAAGGTTTTATTATTAATAAATTATTTAATCCTAACAAAAAATTTTTTCAATTAAAAATAATACATTTTACGATTAATATCGTACAAACTTATAACTTTTGAAATAAATAAATAAAGATGTATAAATGATGTACTTACGTTTATAAAGTAATCATTTTGCACGAAATTATATACATAAAAAATATAATTGTTTCATATAATTCGTTAAAACTCTTCAGTTTCAAAAATATTAAAAAATAGGACTAGATGTCAATTGTTAAATTATTTTAGAATAAAACGAATCACTAGGAGAGTAATTTAAAACACACTAAATGGTAATTCACAGCACACACACGAATACGATACGGAATGCGGCCAGTTACTAAACACAACGTAAATCGTTTTAAAATGAATAATGCGGAGTGTGCACTGTGTGGCAAGTATACCAACGCCACCGACCAGGTAATATTCAGGTTAAGATGGGTACACAGCGCAGTTAAGAGTTGCAACCGGGTGGGGGCGACCAAATAATTTCATAGAAAAATGTGTATTAGGGAAAAACACAATGAGTTTATTAGTCTAAGTAATATTAGTAATAGCCCATCAATAATGGTAATAAGAAACTATGTGAAATACAAGGACAAAGTTGATAAGGCTACAGTTTTAGCTGATATAAAAAATTTATTCAAAATGTTTCCTTTAATATGTGTTTTTGTTTATATAAATAAGAAAAATTTGTGAACATTTTTTAATTAATTTAGGTGCTTTCAAAACAGTTGGAAAATTTAAATAATCGAGATTTTGTTATTGTTAGGCAAAATATTTCGTGTCCAATTATCTACACTTTTTAAATGTATTATTTTACCTTAAATAGGAATAAGGCGGACAAGCTTATTATGAGATAACAGTGTTCAATACGCATTATTATGGGCGTTAACAATTTAAGAAGAGGATCATTTCAGTAATAAAGAGTAATTATCCAATAATTTTGTAACTAACCATCTATAACATAGTATACTCGGCTAAGATTAGCACATTAGTTCAAAAACTTTTATATTTTTTATTTTAAAAATCCCAGCACAGTATGGATGCAGTATAGTTGGGATTAGTGTAGATGACATCTGACAGTAATGAATCATTATCATAAAAAACGTTTCCATGCGAATCTATAGTTTTTAATTTTTAAAAGAAGTTGGATTATTTCAAAAGCAACATCAAATCCTTTATTTTGTTTATTTTATTGTGATTACAAGATAAATGATTAATAAGTATAATACACAAATCATCTTCATCCCCTTAGCCTCTATCCCAATTATTTGAGGTCGGCTCTACCTTGTGTTTTGACAAGATTATAACGCTACCTGTCAACCTGATGTACCCTCTTTATAACTAAGGGAGTAAGGTGTGTGTCACTGTTAAAGCTACAGTATGATTATTCATACCCTTGTAAATTAATTATAATTTCAAATATGATATTAAAATTGTAGTTTATTATAACCCATTGATAGCTAGAATATTTTTTTGGAATAGGCAGCCCCCTTCCTTTTAATATATGTATATACATTGAATTAATATTAAAAGTTGTAAAAATACAAATAAATCTTGTTTATTTTTTTGTAAAAGAGGTAGATAGATATTGGCACTTTTCTCCTATATGAATATATCAGTGGCGATCAAATAATTTTGCTATGTTCATGATCAAAATTAGTGATAGGAAATATTGAATAATAACTATTGAACTATTCGATAGTTGTCCATTATTCGATATAGTCGATAGTCATTCAAAAACTATTCAAATAGTAAAAATATTCAATAGATATACAATTTATTCGAATAGTTTTAAAAATTATTCGATAGTCTATGCTAAAAATAAACTATACGGTTGTATAAACACAATTCGAATAGTTAATCGATATTTGAATATTGGAAAATGCCCATCACTAATTTTTACAATTATTAATTGTATAATAATTTATTTATTTTTGTGTTGAAAAAGTTTAACTTGTGTGTAAAAATTGTTATTTTGAATCCCCCGGTGGTCATGGCAAAAGTTAGATTTTCAAAAAATGTATATAAAATGAAAGAAGTAAAGATAAAATATTTATGAAAAAATAATTGTATTGATCCATACATTTTTCAAAAAGATAAAATAATTTAAAGTTGAAAAAATAAAATCTCAAATCGTAAATTTTAACACCAAAATTGCTTGTTTTTTAACTACGGCAACCATTTGCACACAGAAGATAAGTCATCGGGACAAATTTTTTTTTTAACTTATAGTTCATAACATTATCTTTATTTTAACATATGTTTGAAGCTCAAAGTATTTCCAGAACATTTTGAAAACTAGTTGAAAAAGTAAAATTTTTGTAGAAAAATTGATATTTTGAATCCCTTTCTGTGGGCAGGTAAAGGGTCAGATTTATAAAAAAATACACCAAATGAAAGGTAAAGAAATCATGCATCTATAAAAAAAAATTATATTTTCAAATTATTTTTTAAAAAGTTTTTTTTTTTTTTTTTTTTTTTTCAGAATATTTACAATCTATACAACAAAACGGTACAATAAGTAAATTTGATTTAAATTGATNTTTTTATTTTTTTTTTTTTTTTTTTTTATTCAGAATATTTACAATCTATACAACAAAATGGTACAATAAGTAAATTTGGTTTAAATTGATAATTAAAATGACATGAACTATTATGATTGGGAAATGACTCGTTAGTCACACCTCTAGCATGCTGTTTAAGTTAGTCTTTAGTTATTTAGTAGATCTCTATTCCATTGTCGTTAATAAAGTTTAAAAAGTTATGACAATTTTTCGAGAAAAAAAATGTCAAAATTTACCAATTTTAAAAATTGTAATTTTTTTGGAGATTTCCCCCATTTACGAGAAACAAGGGAAATTTTTTCAATTTTTGAGGATAATGTCTTCAACTAAATAAAATCGGTCCAGTGAGAGCTGAGAAAACGTAGTAACAGGCACAAAAAAAAAATAAACACATCATGATAAAATTAATACCTTTTCAGCTACGCATCGAAGCTAAAAGGTTATAATATAAACAAATTTTACTTTTACAAATGTTAGTATAAAATATTTTTCAACTTGTCATAAACATAATCAGATCTCCATTTTTAATCTATAATGATTAACCTTAACTCAACCTTGAATCTAATTACCGCCATTATTTTCTATGGCTATGATTTTTAATAGACCGCAAAATCTATAATTAGTAGCGATTATTCTTTTGGAAGATTTCGCCTAATTAACTATTCATGATCATTGTTTATTTGATCAAATGAAATTTAGTAGGAATATAAGATAAGTCTGTAATAATTAATTATCGTTATTAGTTCTCATCTCTAATACTAACGAAGAATTTTTATGCATTATTTATTATTATGTTAAATTAAATTAACTTGTAAAATTGAAGGACATTATATAATATATATTTTACTAACGAGTTCATTTGAGGGAAAGGGTGATAACTTAGTCATTTTGATGGAGATTCACGGATATGAGGTAGCAGCTAGTTAAAATGTGATAATTATTTTTATAAAAGTTTGTCTTTCTTCAGATTATTTAATTTTATTTAATTGCCTCACATATGTCAGCATTTTTTTTTTTTTTTTTGGCTTTAATTTTTATAATTTGAAACTAAAATTAATGAAATTTAAAAAATTATAAAATTTTTTTTGGCGATTGAACACTGAATTATTCAGTGAGTCCATGTATATATTTTTAAATATTACTCAAGATTTATTTAAAATTTTATATTATTATTTGGTTTAATTATTACTCTTTGTTTTTTTTAATATAATAAATCGTGTATTTACCAACAGAATGTAATAAATTATATGTCGATTATTATGAATAATAATCATTATACAATGATACTATTGTATAATAATACAATTTATTATATAATTGGCGATGGTAAAATAAGTCAATTAAAATGTTAAAAATTCATTTATTTTATTATTGGAACGGTAAAAATTAATACAGTTTTTTACCAGTTTTAGTTCTATATTAATATAAATTTATAGAAATTAGTATGACTTTTTGAATAATTTAAACATAGTAATGGGTAATTCTAATCTTTTAATATGGCCATACCCAGAGAACCTTTAAAATTATAATATATATTTTTTAAAGTTTTGATTGAAAATTATAACTATTTAATTAAAAAAATGTTTTACAAACAATTATTCTTATCGTGTCCGGTGCTGGACATAATGAATACTAATTGCATTATAAATAAGAATATATTAAATAATCTATAAAAATAAGTAAAATATAAATGTGCTAAATATTTTACTTCGGCCAATGGATGGCACTGATATAGCATTTTCATTGTCAAACTCCAAGTCGTTAGTATCCTGATGGGTCAAAGACGTATTTTATAAGTATTCATCGGATTGGCTTTCGCCGCATTCACATGTGTCAGGTCCTTCTTGGTATCCCTATTTCACTATGTTAACTCTTCTATTAGCTACTCCAGCTATTTATCGTTTTCTATATGGGCTATGATAGATTTCCGCCTAATGATAGTCGTTGATCAAGCGGGACAAGTGTTTCAGCTCGCAGTTCTTCTCTCTATTTACGTAGTCGGCTGGGGAGATCCTGGATCACATTTGTATTAGCAATAAAACTTATTCTTGAATAAATCTCCTATGAGGTTCTAAATATCTATACATGGGATGCGTGTAATCAATAGTTTGTTTAATTTTTTCAATACATGATACTACTAATCTTTGTACTCCTGCCGGAGCAATTCTCGATAATGGATAGATATATTTGAATGAAGTAGCTTTGAGACATTCAGTTATCAACCTACAGTTTTTATTCAGTATCAACGTGTTTAGTTTCGACCGATTCCACACTGGGCAAGCGTACTGACCAGTGGAAAAATATAATACCTGTCCTGTAGTTCGAATCGTATTTCTTGCTCTACTTTCTTGTCAACCACCCAACACTCTGAACCATACATCATTACAGTCTTGTAGAATTTACTATTCAGCCTCGTAAACTTCACCTCACTTAATGCATACTTGGCTTACACAAGTGTTTATATTTCATCCAATCTTCTCACCTTTTGCTTTTCTGCCACACTTTGAACTGTTTTTTCTTCTTACTCTCTACGATTTTTTTAATGTTCTCATTCCACCACCAGGTTTCCTTGTTTCCTGATATTTTGCTCCTACTCTAATTACTAATGGATATTTAAAAAAAAAATTATGATTTTTTTAGTTAAAATAACATAATATATAATTTTTTGTTTCTTTAAATATATCAAAAGTTACCCATAAAGAAATGTTTGAATTATTGTTTTATAATCGAAAAATTTTTTGGTGAGTCTAAGGATCACACATTTCTAATTATGACCTTGCATCATTTTCAAGAAACTTACTTCAATTTTAATAATATAATTTTAATATATGAAGATAATTTTAAAGTTTAAAATATTTACGGTGATAAATAAATAAAACAATTAAAATATTTTTTATAGATAAAACTCCAGTTAAAATGAGTTAATATAATATAATATAATGGTATAATAATAATAATGTTAAACACTTAATAGTTGTCATCTTTGTAACAACACCAGTCATTTATGAATTTTCACTATAAAATTCCTGTTACACTTTAATACATTCTTTAATCTGGAAATTTAATTAATTAAATTTTTGATTAAATCAGATAATTAGTAGATGTAAATAAGACTATTATTTTAAATACAAATCCAATATAATTTTGTGATGAAAATTTTATTATAAAAAGCGCAATGACAATTTTACATGTTTTTTTGGTAATCAAAACTAATGATTTATTACTACCAAGATAACCCAAAAAATTCTTTGAGGGTTACCTGATCTTGTGACTCTGAACCAATATACTGGGATTTTTGTACTAATTTTTTGCTCCTCACTTATAATTAAAGAAATTTATACATTAATTGGATGCACCAAGTATTTTATTAATCATAAATAATGTAACCAATAAATATAACACATTTTTTCTTCGAAAAATCTAGTTTGTTCAGAAATAAAGGTATAAAAAGATTTATTTGTATATTTATATACTAATATTTAAAATTGAATATTATTTTTGTATATCACTGATATGCACATTGTATTCAAATAGTTATTCAGAAAAAATAACCTGAAGTATTGTGCAAAATCTTACAATAAAATGTTAATTAAGTAGTGAACACAATGGAATGAAGTGTTTCAATAAGATATAAATTATTCATCAATTTTTCTTTAAAAAAAAATAATCACTGGGTTAGATGACTTAAATTTGTTTGCTTCTTCTACGGGCAATGTGAGATAATAATCTGTTTCCAAACAAAAATGTGGCTAATCCTAAAATAAGTAGATACTTGAGAGTAACAAACATATTCAGTTTTAGCCAAAATAAGACAAATAGAGAGAATATGCCTGAAACAAAAGAATAATTAATACAACATAATAAAAATTAACTTTGATTAATTTTACCGCCTAATCCTGTATGGAATCCTAAAGCACTTAAACTAAAAGGGAAATTCTTTATGTTAACACCCAATTTTGTCCACTGAAAAAAAAATATAAGTAAAATAGTTATAAATAAAAAATAAATGTTTTTTACTTACCAAAACAAATAAGATCAATAAAGGTGTGAGTGATAGAGCTGTAAATAAGAGAGATACAATATGAGGAGGTCTAGTTTCTGGTTCTCTAAAAGTATGCTAAAAAAAAAAAAAAAAAAAAAAA